GCGCTAAATAAAAGAAATTAGTAATAAATTACTAGTAATAGTTTATAAAACTTATAAACACGCGAATTTTGTATACTATATATAGCTTTAGCTACTCTAGAATTATTTTAACTCTATCTTAATTAACTTTAATCTTATTAGGTGTTACTATGTAACCTAGGTACTTAGTATACTATATATACTACTCGCACTTTAGAAGCTTAAAGAATAGGTTATATTTATATAACCTATGTAATACTTCCTTTATATATTCTTTATATTCCTCTTTTATATTAGAGAAGATTAGAATATTATCTAAGTAAATAATATAAGATATATTAACTAGTCCTACTAAGACCTAGTAGATATAAGCTTAGAACTAAGCTAGAGTATTTATAAGGCTAAAAGATATTATAGTATACTTAAAACTACTATACTTTATATAAAAAGTAGTCTTCTATTTATTACCTTCTTAGATATATACTCTATAGTACGCTTCTTTTATATCTAGCTTAGTATAGTACTTAGTACTAGCTAGTCTCTCTAGAGACTTAGTAATAAGAGGTAGAGAATATCTATTTTTTATAGTAACCTTATTTAAGCTCTAATAGTTAATGTATAGCTATATACTACTATCTTTCTTTTTAGTAAAGAGAATAGGCGCTTTTACTAGAGACTTACTATACTTTATCTAGCTACGCGCTAAGTATTCCTCTAAATACTTATATAATAACTTAAGCTCTATCTTAGAGAAGTTATATAATAGTATATAAAGCGCTATAGCCCTAGATAGTAAATTAATAGCTAAGTCTTATAGTCTATAACTTATAAAAGCCTTTAAGTTGTTTTTTAAGCTAAGTTCTATAAACTTAGCGTATTATAAGAGTAACTCTACTCTACTAGCCCTTTCTAGGCTAGTCTAGAGCACTAAAGTAATAAAATAGCTATATACGTCTAATATAAGGTTGCGTATTATCTTTTTAAACTCTTTAGCTTCTTTTAATATAATTTTCTAAAAAGGAGCTTTATTTTTATCTTTTTATCTCCTAAAGATTAGCCTTTGCTCTAGAAAGTTAAACTTAGAGTTAATATATCTATTTAAAATAAACCTAAGTATACCTTATACTTTAGAATCTTAGCTATAATAAATAGTATATTATAAACCTCTACTTTCCTATAAGAGTCTTTAATACTTATAGTAACTAAAGTAGTTCTATAAACCTTTAGCTCTTTACTATTTACTCTTTTTACTAATAGCTTTAGTAAGAGTTAAATAGTAAGATTATACTCTTTAGTAGTTACTACTAAGAGGAAGTTTAATTATAAGCTTAGGTTAATTAACGCCTCTATTAGCTCTAATTACTTAATTATAACTTATACTATTATTATCTAGATTAGTTTAGAGTATATTATATTATAAAAGAGTTCTAAGTCCTTAGCTATAAAGTTAAGTATAATATAAGTAGAGAAAAAAGACTAGCTTTTCTACTTAGTACCTTTCTCTACTTTAAAGACCTTAGAGTCTCTAAGTTTCTTTTTACTCTCTAGATATTCCCTCTAAAAGTATCTAAGCTTATTATAGCTCTAATAGACCCTATTAGGGTCCTTTAAACTAGTTTAGTCTTTTTTTAGAAGTTTTATATTAAAATAGCCTAAATTAGATATCTTAGCTTTTTTTTAAGTCTATAAAGACTTAGAATATAAGTTATAAAATAGCTTATTATATTTATACCTTATCTCTGCTAACTACTATAGAAATAGTAGTATTTCTCCTAATAAGTAAGAGAACGTTACTATATAGCTTAATCTACTCTAGTAATATCTAGCTAGAGTATTTAGTTTAAATACTATAAAATACTCTACTAAATCTCTAAGTATAAGTTCTTTTTAAATCTTTAGAAGAAAGGCGCTTAGAAAGTCTATTAAATATTATTCTTTTAAGTAGTTCTTTAACTTACTCTAGAGGGCGTTTAACTTAGATAGTAAGACGTTTAAGTCTTAATTACAGCGCTAAAAGGTATATTTTAGCTTATTATAAGCCTAAAGGCGTTATAATAACTTAGAGCTAAGCGTATTAAGTATTACTACTTTAAGCTAGTCCTAAGTTAGTATCTATATAGCAGTTTCCTCTATATAATTCTAAGTATAGGTATCTTAGATTATATAAGTAGTTTTATTAAAAAACTTTATTATAAAGTTAACTTTATATAAGTTAGTATAGAAGGTATTTAGTACTTTTTAAAATATAGCTTTATAATCGCATACCTAGTAGTTATACTATAATTAGTTACGCGTTATAAACCTTTTAAAGTCTTTTAGGCGTAGTATACCTAAATTTACTTAGCTTTTAGACTTTCTTATAAAAGTAGAGTAAGTAAAGTTTTTTTTTAGTACTATTTAGTTACTAGTAAAAACTCTATCTCTTAGAGCGTAGAGATACGCTAACTCTTAGTAGTCTTATTCTAACTTAGCCTAGTTCCTTAGCTCTTTAAGCTCTTAGGTTATTAAAAATTATTTTTTATTTTATTTAACTATTATAGCTTATAGTAGGCTTATAGTAAGTATAAGTAACTACTTTAGTATAGTAAAGTTTTTAAAAGTTTTAAAGAGTGTAGAACTACCTATAAAGAGCTATACCTAGCCTAGCTACTCTTTAGTAAGTTATATTACTATTCTAGAAGATAAGAGAGTAGGTTTGTCTATACTATAGTCTATTACGCGCAACTTATTAGTTATAGACCTTACTATATATTAGGTGCTGCTAGAAGGGCCTAAGTAAGAGCTTATTATAATTAATTAATATATATAAGAGTATTATAGAGAGAGCAATTTAAATATTAAGCTATTATTATTATAATACTAGATACACACTTATTCTAGGGAGTAATAATAGTATTATTAAGTATTAACTAGAGACGAATCGCTATTAAGCTACAATAGCAGGAGAAGGCTGTATTTAAGCCTATTCTAGTATATTATAGGCTAGAACGCACTAAAAAAGTTTAGTTCCTAATAATTAGGTAGAAAAGAGTTATTATTATTAACTAAAAGTAATAATACTAATTCTATAAGTAATAGAATAACTAGTTAATAATCTATATAAGAGATAAACTATTTAAGTTAACTATAATAAGTATAATAATAAAATCTATCTATTCTTTATACCTATTATAATCTATTTCTGCTATTATAGGTCTATTCTACTATTACTAATAGTTATCTTTACTTATAATAGCTGTCTTTATATATAGGTCTTATTATTACTAATAGCTCTATCTTAGCGTAATAGTATATTACGTAACCCTCTTTATACTTTACACTAGTTATCCTTTATTATTAGCGCTTATTAAGAGGCGCTTAGTCCTAATTCTTTTATTAAAAGAGGATTCTTTTTATTACTTATAATACTACTTTACTTTAGTATAAACTAAGCTTAAAGAAGTATAGCTTAACTTTATATAACACTTATATAATAAAAGGAAGTAACTCTTTATTACTTTATAATAACTTAGTAATATAAAGTAAATACTATTATCTATAGTTATACTATTATAGATATATTATACTATTATAGATATATTATACTATTATAGATATATTATACTATTATAGATATATTATATATAAACTGTATAGTATTATTATACTATAATTATATACTTAGTAAAGAAATAATATTAGGCTAAGTACTATAACTAAGTATTCTAAGCTGCTTTAGGCTTTTATAACTTATAGTAGAAGTAAATTAAGTATATATACTTATACTAAGCTATTATAGCTTAATAGTAGTTTATCTTTAGTTAAATAGATAATACACTAAAGTAAGTCTCTACTATAGTATATCTAGTATTAGCTTATACTATTATTTAATAGGTAGATTATATACTTCAAATTAGCTAATAATAAAATAAGTAGATCTATTCTACTATAACTTAGATCTAATCTACTATCTAGCAAAACTAAGATAACAAACACTACACAAAGGTTTCAAGAGATTAACATCTGCTAAGTATCTAATAGTAACACTTTTGTACAGGTGGTAGCTATGTCCTAAGGGGGTCAATTCGGAAAAGAGTGTTCTGCACAATAAACAGCATAAGGTGATGCGGGCCTGCCTCATTGTTAGGAGCAATGACTCTGATACGGGTTGGAGTAGAAGCTCTACACCCAACAACTATATTGCAGTCCTCGGGATGCTGAATACTCCCGTTTCCGTACAGGGATCTGTCCAATTGAACGCATGACCAAGCCTCGGCATTTTTTGATGCTACTGAAATGTGATTCGACAGGGCGGTATCGCCGATCCGAGGGGATGTCACCGAGCTTGAATCAAGATCCTAATGCCCTCACGCAGCGTTCACATTCGACGTTGGTGTCGGGAGTGCTTTTGACCGTGACCTTCCGAACTACCTCCTTTGATGCTTGCATAGCTCCAGGCTGAACAATGTTTCTACAACTTTATGTGTATAAGCAATACGAGATCACTCTGAGAATCAGCTTTCTGATGAATCAAGACGTACTTCAAGCCAACCTAGCTAACAAGTACTGTTCTACTGATGTTCGGAGAAAAACGAAGTATTTGTATTCCGAATAGAGCCAAGGATCGTCTGTCAGTGCAGTACATCATAAGATGCCACTGCCTACCATAGTTTGCCGCAACTTGCGGTATGCTAAGGTGGAATGAATAGCCTGTTCCTCGTGAGTATGGGTATTAATGAGTAGTGCAGGTAATCTCCTTGGTTTTTAAAGTTGGTTTAGATCTAGAAACGAATTTGGCTGATCAGGTTGGATACGTACTGTAAGAGATGGGTTCCTTACGACTATATGCATACGAAGTATCTTGAACCATTCCGAGGCCGAGTGCTATCCATTTTGAGTGTCATAAGGTAGGGATGAGGATGGAGCAGGGACCTATCACATATTCACAATGCGGAAGAGACCATGAAGTGAGGTGGACGTGGAGATGTGCCCTGTAATGATTTGCGCAAACGTAACAGTATAGTCATGTGAGAGCAAAGCAATTAAGCAAACACATCCGTCCAAAATCGGTCTCCTTTGACTTTCTTCACCCATTCAGTTGCCTCCTCGATCGTCTCACCGCTTTTCTCAGCGCGTATCTTTGCCATAGCTGCTTCTACCCCAGTGCCGACGACACCAGCTCCACAAAGGTACAGACTGGCACCCTCTCGGAACAGTTTCGTCACGTCTTCTCTGTCATGCCAAATGCGTTCCTGCACAAATTTGCACCCTCCAGATGCCTCTGGCTTGAATGTAAATGCGCGGCGCACACTGACAACACCTTGTTTCTCCCATTCATTGAAAGCCTCGCGGTACATATCATCCTCATCCGGAGCGTTCAGACCATAGAAGAGTAAAGAAGGGCCTACCTCAGCCCCTGTCTTCTTCTTCAATGCTCTCTCAGCGACAAAGGCCCTGAAAGGCGCGAGGCCAGTTCCTGCGCACGCCATAATGAGGGGTGTTTTATCGTCTTGCGGTAGGTGGAAGCCACTTCGGCTGGGCCGCAAGCTGACCTGGACTTGATCACCAGGATTCAACCGCTCTAGATACGTGCTGCATGCACCCAAATAGCGGGCATCTTTGCGTCCACTCTTCTGTGGAGCATCCAGCACACTGTAAGTCAGCGAGCACTTGGCCGCATCTTCTAGTGGTGTGGAGGAGATGCTGTATTGTCGCACACGCATTGGCGTCATTGCTGCAAGGAACTCCGCGAAGGTGAAGGCCGCATCAGGGTAGTCCTCTAGAATGTCGATGAGGGTGACGTTGAGCTTCTGGAAGTTCTCTCGTTCAACCCTTTCCTCCACCTCAGACCGCTTCTTCTTGTCGGCAATTGAGTTCGCTACCGCTGTCATTGATCGCGAGGTGATCGGTTGTCCTAGTTCGACCATACCAGACAGGACATCGTGGACACTGAGCATTTTGCCGGTCGGCAGGCTTGTGTTAGCTTCCGACTTGATGGTAAGGGTGGCATCCCAAGGGAGTCTGAACCTCTTCATAACCCGCTGGACTACCTGAGGAGAATTGATAGGCAGAACGGCGATATAATCGCCAGCTCGGTATGTCCAGCCCGAGGGAAGGAGGACCTCGAGATGCCGCTTGCGCATCGCACCTACCCGTGTGAGGAGGCGCGCCTCTGTTACCTGTGCGAGCTCCATCTCTTGCCTGAGTATGTTGGAACGTGCCGAAACATCGATCTCCAGAGGCAAAGCCTTGGTAGAATTGTTAGCATTACTCTTCTGGCCACCAAGCTTTGGCCATAATTCTTTGTCTTCCCAATCGTCGACAAAATCGAAAACGTTGCCAGACGTTACGTCTAGTGCCACACGCTCGGTCAAACGTGTTGCACCGTTCTTTGACATCGCATCGTCTACGAAGGTAGGAACCTTCTGATAAGTAGAGACCCATTCCTCTGTGCCATCGGTCAGCAGGCTCTTGACTGCTTGACTCCGAACTTACTATTGCCCACACCAAACACACAATACTGTACATCTTTCAATTCTTCAGCCGGATCCGATTTTAGCCATTCCACGAAATGAGTCGCGTTGTCAGGCGGGAGTCCTTCATAGCTAGCGGTCACTATTACGACCGGGACATCTTTACTCAGCGATGACACTGCAGAGTCGAGGCCTTGCACTTCTGCTTTGAAACCATTGTCTGGTGCAGAAGCGGCCAGTGCTTGTGCAACAGCTTCGCACGTTCCTGTGTTCGATCCATAGAGAATACTTAAAGGCTTCAAGTTGCTTGTATCGACGTCTGATCTTGCATGCTGATCCGCTGAAGCCTGATTCTTGGTTACTGTCTCTCCAGACACGATCCCCGCATGCTGAAGGAAGTCCGGGTTCCTGACGTGTGCTTTGATATAAAAATCCTGCGGTTTGATTGTCAAGCTTGTCTTGATGAGGAGCGAATACGATGGGTGCGCTTTGGAGAAGCGGAATGTTTGCAGTAACATTGCCACTGTCAGCAAAGCCTCCTGCCATGCGAAAGGGCGTCCAATACAGGCTCTAAGTCCATTTCCGAACGGCTTGGATTGGTTAGTCAATGTTGAGGAGAATAATAAGCTACAAGAATAGATAGTGGTCGAGACTTACCTTCCAGGAATTAGGTGGGAGATCCGTGAAAGCCTTGCCTTCCATACGCTCGGGACGGAAGTCTTTGGAATCGTCCCCATATACCTCCGGGTCGCGATGCAATTGCGCAAGCATGACTGTAGCGAATTGCTTGTCTTTGATTGTATACTTACCACCAAGCACTTGGTCCCCCTTGGCTTGCAATGTGAACGCTGGGGCGGTCGGATGGAGGCGCAGAGTTTCGCGCAAGCATGCTTCGAGATATGGTAGCTTGCCCATGTGATCCACTGTGACAGCGCCTTTTCCGATGACGGAGTCAACCTCTTCTTGAGCTTTGCGATACGCAGCTGGGTTTTCAAGAAGTTCGTAAAAGAGGAAAGAAAGCATTCCTGAGGTCGTTTCGTGGCCTATGCCAGTCAGTAGGAGCGCGCTTCCGAACACGTGCTTATAGTTTTCGACTGACCAGCAATTAAGAAGGTTATCATGTTGCGGATGATTGTTTCATCGTCCAGGCCTTCTCCAGTCTTTGGGTTGCGTCCTAAGATCATAGAGTTGAGAAGGTCCTTCTTGTCTGTCGGGTGGGAGCGACGAGATACAAGGAGTTCCTTCGATATCTCAATCAACTTGTCTATGTCTGATTGGAACACTTTGTCTTGCCCAGTATAGACCATGGAAGGCAGAGGCAACCGGCGAGACCGTGCGAAGGATCCGCTGAGGGTACCCACCATCGCATCAACAAAGGGGTGTTGGTGTTCTCGGTAGAACGAATTGAAGCGATCTCCCATAGCACATCTAGTTGGCAAGAGTAAGTCGTAGCGTTTGTGTTCCTTGAGTGCAGAAAAACGTACAGTGCTATCGAATCAAGTGTCAGACGCGTGAAGTCATCAGACACGTTGATCGGTACATCGTCACCAAATCTGGCCCACCTGAGTACCATCTGGCTTGCAATGTCTTGCATCTCTACAACAAGCCATCAGTCTTTGCAAGTTCTTTAAATATGGACAGAACGGCCACCATGTAGTTGACATACCTGGAAACATGGCTTTGATGTTCAAAGGGCCGAATGCCGGCATCAAAACACGATGTGCAGTTTCCCAGTTGTGTTCTCCAGGAAATGCTGTAAACAAACCATCGCCGGTGGCGTGGCGGACCTGGGCAAGAGGACCAGTAACGCCCTTTTGGAAATTTTCCTCGTTGAAAAGGTCTTTAGCTAAAGCATAGCTTCCCACGAAAGTTCTTTCTGCTGGAAGCCATAGTCTGAATATGGGACCTAAGAAGAACCATTGGTAAGATATTCCTTTACTTTGTGCAAACGAGACTCACCGTGTATCGCAGCGATATGTGCCAGGCTTTCATTAGGATGCTCAGGATCAATATCCATAACATTTCCAAGAATAGGGTATCCATGTGGGCTGGGAATAGGCTCCATGGTTTGATAAATGGATATTTCAAGAATAGGTATGTTCTGCAAGCAACAGCACGCAGTTGGGGTGTCGATTCAGGAAGCAGGAATGATAGCGGCACAGGATGCTTTGGAGGGAGGACGATCGAATATTTGTACGACGAATGGTCTCAATCATAAGCTGAGCAACCTCCGAAGAGGCATTTCCTGCGCTAGAATACACGATTAGTAGAAGAGATTCCGATGCGAGCCAGAGTTGACGATTAAAGGCCCGATATTGCAGATGCACTAAGAAACTTGCATCATTTGATGCGACGCATGCATACTTACCTAGAGAGGTTTTGACGCAAAATCCCATGAGGAGATATCTCATGACGCTAACGCACAGTGGAACCGGGCAACCCACACTATAGTCAGCTCTGGGGCCGGTTGTGCAAGTCCGGGTCCCGGTGGGCGCTAACGGCATCGTCGGAAGAATCCCATACTATGTGTGGCCACTAGAGAGCTTTAGGGCTGATCAGAAACTCTGGGTGCGCTTATTCTCTGAAGATCGGCAGATACCTACTGTGAACTATGGTCGTCTTAGACGACCCACCCCAGCAACCCTTGCGCGGGTGGTATTTCGGCCGAGCAATCCACTGTTGCGTTCTTCGCATTACGATTTCCGCACCACAGCATAACTGGTCTAGTATAAACAGAGGCCCCTTCCTTGTTTACCTACTAAATCTGCCCTGGACATTCTCTGACAACTCATTAGCATTTTCTCTTCTATCCGTACACAAGATGGCTGCTTCCAAGACTCTCATTGCCCTCGACGTTGGACTAAGCAAGCCAATTCGGGGCCTCCCAATGTCAGACATTATATCACGGGGGGAAATACTGCGATTTTCGCTTGACGACTCGAATGAGCCAACTCAGCCGTCTCTGCTGCTTTCCGACACACCCCAAGTTGCCCTCCCTGATGGTGTTGTCTACAGCAAAAAGAAAGACCTCTTGTACTATACCAACATGGGTGTACCTCCTCTCAACGATGGAAGTGTTTATTCGCTCTGCCCAGATGGATCGGATCTTCAGGTGGTGCTTTCAAAAGGCCAGATACACACTCCAAAGCAACTTGCTCTGGATGACACAAACGACAAGCTCTACATCTCTGACAGAGAAGGCCTCCGCGTCTTGCGCTGTAATTTGGATGGTTCGGAGCTGGAAGTTCTCATTGAAAATGGAGACTTCCACGATGCGGCTGTCAATCGTGATCAAACCCGCTGGTGTGTCGGCATTACCGTTTCTCCTCGCAGAGGTCTTTTCTATTGGACGCAAAAGGGCCCATCAAAGTCAAACACCGGGAGAATTTTCTGCGCGTCGATCGAAGGTTCCGGCTTGAGACAACGAACGCTTCTACTTCAGAATCTCCCTGAGCCAATCGATCTTGAGATAGACGAGGCTACAAATACGCTGTACTGGACTGATCGTGGCGAATTGCCTTACGGAAACACCTTCAACCGTGTGAAACTGGAAGAAAGTGGCACTCGTATCGATTCTGGGGGATTTGTTCCCACACCAGGTTTTCAGCACGAGATTATCGTGCAGAACTTCAAGGAGGCCATTGGGCTATGTCACGACAAGGATAACAAGAGATGGTACGTAGCTGATATGGGAGGAACCATCTGGTTCTTTGACGAGGATGGTGGTGACAAGGTCTCGGTATTTTCTGATGAGAGTCGGTCATTTACAGGTATTGTTCTCGTATCCTAGGGCTAGTTCTGCAAGAAAATTCACGATGCATTTATACTTCTGGCCAATAATAGTCTACAAATATGCACTCGCTATGACATCTAGGGGAAGCCTGCCAAATCGTAAAAATCTTCCGTTTGCATTGATCTACTGCAACATTTTTGTGTAAGACTCGGAGTTCTCCAGAAGATGACCTGGGGGCCAGGAGCGCTACCAACAGTACGTAAACTACCACCTGCCTCAACTTGCCTTTCGATGTCGTCATTCCGCTTTAGTGCTTTGTTCGACACCAAGCACTCCCCGCTACGTAGGCATCAGACTCGAATTGTGACATTGCCCAATACCACAAGAACGTTTTCGCAAGACATAATCATTGGGGTCCTACTAAAAAACATTGCTGAGCATACTAAGCCCATGTCTCATGATTTGACATACAATAACCTACAGGACCATGGGTCCAGTAAGGATTGACGTCGGGATTGTCAAATCGAACAACTGGTGATAAGATGGTATGTTTTCCTCCGAAGTCTGTCTTGTCGAATGTTACCATGTATCCGTCACGACGCATAAGGTCTGTGTGCTTTGCCCAAGCTTCCCCGAGAATGTACAAGAGATCCTCCACATGTAGGTCTGGGGTCATGGGTTTGAAATCGAATTTATCCTGGATGGCCTTCACCGTTTCTGGTGAATACAATCCAAATGGTTCGGTCAGCTGTATAGCATCCACCGCTGTCAGAACAGAGGTAGCATGATACGATCCGCCCTTCGTTGCTCGGTCGCGCAAGGCAAGCAGGACGTCAACGACACCCACAGCTCCGGCCAGCATGTCAGCAATGGGAAGAGAAGGAAGCACACTGACACCCTCATCAAACCCATAAGCTTTGCCACAGACATATGAGCACCCGGACGCAGCGTCCGCAATTTGTTGAAATCCCGGTCGTTCGGCATAGTACCCATCTGGACCGTAGGCATTGAGGTCGATGTAAACGATGCCCTTATTACGTTGCTTGGCAATCTCGACCAGATCGTAGAGACCGAAACCCTTCCGCTCAAGAGAGCGAAGGCGAAATGCTTGTATGATAACGTCCGCATCCGCCATGAGGTCGACTAACGCTTGTCTATCCTTCTCGTCCTGAAGGTTCAATGCGTAGGTACGTTTTCCGGCCGTAAGAGTGATACTAAGAGGCTTCCAAAGAAATCAGGCATAGGTGTGAATAAAGGGCTTAGCCACTTACCTGAAGATCTGGAAGATTGGGGCTTTGAACTTTGATAATATCCGCTCCAAGAGCTGCAAGCGCCGTTCCCATTGCTGGTCCAGCAATTACGCGAGCAAGCTCAACGACTTTTATACCGGCCAAGGGCCGCGAATCGCTTGACTGAGGGAAAGGGACAGGAGGTAACGTCGAAGTGCCCTTCACCTGCGCGGAATCTATCAAGGGGTGCTTAGCCAAGGCTTTGCCCATCATAGTTTTCCTCCAATGTTGTGGTGTAAAGCATGTCTGGCCACAAAATCCAAGCTCCATATTCTTGATATCAAGCTCGGCTGCGGAATATTTTGATATGGTGGACGAAATCAGCTCGTAAGCCTCAGTACGGTTCTTGACGGGCGCTTCTCCGTCAATGCCGTAGGCTTTGAAAAAATCAGGAGCATTAAGATTACTCATAATCTGGTACCAAACGTGAGAGTCCTTCGTTGGGTAGATGGCCCACGAGCGAGTGTACATGTCGTTCTTGCTCACACAACCTTTGTCGACATCCACGCCAACTTTGGTTAAGGTACCGTTGTTTTTGATTTCAGCAAGACCTTTGCCATCAATGGTAGCAAGGGCCACAGTGGCGGGGTACAAACCACATTTATCGGTGTCGATGTATATCTTACCGGTCTCGATGCCCTTGAGGGTGCTGATCTCTTTGGCAAGGATCCCAATCATTGCATGCAGAACGGAAGTCTTCGTAGAGTATGTCAGATAGGTTGTTCTCAAGTCGACCAAGAGAAGTATGCTTACAAGAACCTGCGCTTTGATGGGTCCTGGGATGATGGTGAGATCGTCTCCTGAGAACACAACGTCGTTCAAAGTAGACTCTTCAGTTGTAAAACCTGGGGTGACGCTTGCAAGGTATCTCAGTAGCCTGCGTGAGTCCTCAGGTACGCCGATGAATTCATTGTCAACGAATGTACCGGGACCGAAGACGTCTTTTGTTGTAGAATGTGCGGGCATTGCAGAGTTTGGTTGGATGTTGAGGAAGCGTCAATCAGATGAATCAATAGCAAATATCGATAGATGGATGCTGTACTGTAAAGGATATTGTGAGGACCTTTATGCAGTCAACCGCTCGTTTGCGACTATTAAGTATGTTCGGAGAGATTCAAGTGTGGTAAGCCGACCATGCACCGCGAATAGGCGGCCGAGAGGCACCACATCCTGTTGACGATAGCTTGGTGCCACTAATGCCGCCAGCATTCCTGCCGTTTAGTCATGAGTGGATACCATCCGACGTACCCGTGGTCTATCACTGAAAGCGATGCAGGGCGGCAGTAGATCGGTGGTTCGATACCGGTTCGGTGCCGGTCCAGTATCAGTCCATCGCCGGTCTAATATCAATTCACCGCCATATTGAATGCGCAAGGGAGTTGCGTGCGTTAGACGATGGAACCAATAGTATTAAGCCTCGGTTGCTCAAGGGCGCATATCATTGGTCTGTTGGGCCGCTATCCTTTCAGCCAATCATCATAGTTGCCAGTCGCCTCGGCGATGAGATCAACCACTAATGATTGAAATGACCCAAAGCGGCATTTGGTGATAGCTGCATAAGGAATTTCTTCAAATGCACTTGCCAGTGGGTAGGATTCAAGGTCAAGCTTCCGCATGGCAAGCTTCGATGCTATTGGTGCCCGCCCATCTTAACGCCCGTATGCATCTCCGGGCGTGGCGGACGGTCAAATTTGATCTGATACTACATTTAGTCGCGAAAATTCTCTAAACTGGTCTATTGATGCTCATTCTCGTATCCAGTGGGGCGTACAAACAGATAGCCTGATGCAGGTTGGCAGGTTGCTGATCTGGATGATCTAGCTCGCAGATACGCTTGTGGGTTTGACGTAATGTCCGACTTGGGGCATTCCAATTGAGTAAGATATTTGGTCTCGTGGTGAGATAGTGTCGCATATAAGTGATGGGTTTTGTAAAGCCGCTTATCTTGAAATTCTGTTTGTACTGAACAGCAACAACATATAAAAAGCCGCATATCTCGATAAGCACGGCACACCCACCAACTCTTTGTGAATTCCTTCATTTCGCCACTGTAGACTCCAAGATGACTATTCGTGCAGTTGGTATTGTCGGCACTGGCGTCATTGGAGCGTCATGGACAGGTCTCTTCCTCGCTCATGGTCTACACGTATATGTGGCAGACCCAGCTCCTGGAGCGGCAGAAAAGCTGGCTGCCTATCTGGAAGCCATTTGGCCAAACATGGAATTGATGAGCCTTGAAGAAAAGTATGTCTTGAATTTCAATCCATCATTGAGACGTACACTAACATTACCACTCCTGTTAGTGCTTCTCTTTCGAATTATGAATTTGTTGGCCCAAGTCTTGGCGAATTCTACAAAAAGGTAGACTTCATCCAGGAGGTAAGAGGATAGATTCAGATATTGCGATAAAATACTGAAGCAGCCACGCAGAACGCTCCTGAAAGGCCAGATCTCAAGACCAAAATTCTTGCTGACATCGATGCAGCTGTACGACCAGAGATCGTGATTGCTTCTTCGTCATCAGGCATTCCAAGCTCGAAATTCATCAGTGAATGTCGCCATCCAGAGCGAGTACTGATCGGTCATCCATTCAACCCGCCTCACCTAATGCCGCTCGTGGAAATTGTTCCCCATCCAAAGACAAGCACTTTGGCCATTTCAAATGCACTGGAATTCTATACATCTGTAGGACGCCGTCCGGTTCACATCAAGGAAGAGATTCCTGGCTTCGTTGCCAACCGTCTCCAAGCTGCCCTTTGCAATGAGGCCTATAGCCTGGTGGCCCGTGGAATAGTCTCAGCCCAGGACCTAGGTGAGTACTTACAGTCAAAATCTGTGTACACGTGTTGATCGTAAACATAGATGCCTGCGTCACCACCAGCTTGGGACCTCGTTGGGCGATGGTCGGCCCTTTTTTGGCAAACGCGATGGGAGGCGGCGGCGGAATAGAGGGTTTCAGGCATATGATCGAGCATTTGGGACCTGCGAGTCAAACCTGGCTAGCCGATATGCAGGCCCATAAGTTCGATTGGAGTGCGCAAAGCGTCGATGCTTTGGGCACAAGTGTTGCGGATGAGCTTACGGGCAAGGACATGAAGATACTCGAGCAAAAGCGCGATGATGATCTTGTTAAGTTCTTCAAGATCAAAGGTAAGAGGCGCACAAGCTTCAATGGTATGTCGCTAGACTCTCGATAGCTACGCCAATTTACAGAAGCTGGCCGTATCACTTTATTAAGCGACAGAGTAAACAGTCGTCCTATATTAATCTATCAACATCTTTTCCTTTGGGAATTTGCAGATACCGCAGTCTCTATTGCATGATTAGCATACTCACTTATCCTGTAGCTTCACTAATGACCGTTAGCCTTCTGAGCCACGGTGCAGAACATGACTTATCGATGTCCCGTTCCTTGTACGCACGGCCGTTGCCAGCCCCTGTCCATATATCGAGATAGAAAGTTATGGTCAGTCATTATCAGGCTAGTTCTGGCACGCTTAAATGAGGCTATTTCTCTTTTAGATCGAGCTTGCGCGTGATCAGTACAACCGTCAATTAGTTAGAATTGTCCCATTTTGGCTGAAGACGACTGTGCATCCGTGACTAAGCTGGACTGGAGATATGATGACGAGAGTATAGCTGCTTCTTTAAATTCTTCGGCAGTGCAAAGATGCCAGTCGGACGACTTCGTCGCTGGAGAAGAGAGTACCAACATGGAAAAGCTGATGTACGATATCAAAACGGTTATTGCTTCCTAGACGTCAATGAGACCTGGGTTTAGAATTCATATGTTGTGGACCTTGGGAGTTTAGTCGAGAGGTTTGACGGAATGATTGGAGCAGTAGTGTCAGATATCTTGACATTGAAGCCAAAGATGACAGGGTACAGTAGTAATCTTCGCGTATGCTTTAATTGAAAATATTCAGAAAGCTTGCTATTTGATGATGAAGTTAGGTTCGCATATCTCACTGATTCTCGCCCTGTCATGAGACCAGAAAAGAAAACTCGTTCTGCATTCAAGTCTTTGGGAATGTCGTACAGGAAGTACCTCACGCTGCGGATCAGTTGGAAAAACTAAGCGTTGGAGGATCCCGTGCTTGTTCAAGACCAAAGGATGTGCGGAAGGCAGAAGAATCGGTATTGAAATCCAGGAGTTGCTGATCGAAATAGTTCTGGAGCCACTCACTCTCGTCTATTGTCTGAGTGGCGGTAGTCGAAGCACCCGTTCCGCTCTCGTATTGCGCCTCAACTTGTCGAAGAATAGACCGGCCGGCCTCTATTGTGGCGCTGCGAACACTGCGTTTTTGCTCGAGGTTCAACATAAATTCGGCCAACCGTCGTATAGTTTCGACTACAATATGGGTATTCATGATGATGTCCGGAAGAGCACCGAGAGTTTTCAAAGAAAACGATGCGCATTGTGATAGCAGAACACATACGAAACCAGGAATGTAGCGCAATTGATCTCTCCCGTATGGACCTACCTCATCTGGAAGGTTCAGAAGATTTACGGCCGCATATATGCATCTATTGACTGCTTCTGCATATGTAGCACGGTCCATCATTGTCTCAGCCTGTGGAATGAGGAATCTGTAAAGACAGAATCTCGTGTAACGGAAGAAAAATTCGGGATAGAATGCCATTACGGAGCCGAGAGCTTGCAATTGTCAGCAAATTGTGCGCCCACGGAACGAAAAGCACCATACTTTGGAAGGGGTTTATCCATAATCTATGCTGACAAGCCTCTAGTGCACTGTCAATGTCATCAACCGTGAGCCTCTTATCCCCAGATGTCTGGCTCCCACGGAAACCGAATTCACACCACCATTCCTTTATCCCTGGGTCAATATTACCAAGCTAACAAATGGTTAGCCCGTGCACGTGTGCAGGCAGACGACAGCAACCTGGGGTTTCCACTGACTGTGTACCATATCAAGCAAAGCTCGGCGTCTGCAACAAGCGCTTGGACGGTCACCTCAGACTTGAGGTCTTGTAGTAACATCGGGGAGGCTCTGATTGTGGCATCAGGACTTATAGTCGGCGGTGTTCCTGTAATCATTGCCACGCTAACGCTTCAGCTTTGCCCGTGTCAATCAGCATTGGCAGACTCACTGGTGGGAATTCGAAAACAACCAGAGCCAGACGAGATAGAATTGCACACACTGGTCAGATCTCTGCAACAATTGACCAGACTGACTGCGCATGAGGACATCGTTCGCAGTCTTGAATAGCTCTATGCGAAAGGCATAGGACTCGCAAATCGCTTTTATCGACCAGAGATTGAATACAGAAGTGACCTCCTGTCTTGGTAGACTGCAGGCTGCCTCGGGACGTGCAAAGTTATACAGAATAATCAGTACCTGCATGTCTGTGAGCTGCTGTGCAGATGTCGCAGGCTGTATCTCTAGCATAGCTCTTGAGAAGTCATTCAGCCCTTTCTGCATTGCAATACGCAAACCAGAATAACCTGCGATGTAAGCGGACGAGACGTAGACGATGCATGCGGCAAGGTGAGGCTGGTCGCTCACGATCCTTTCATGGTTGGTGTAAGCATTTGGATCTAAGACCGGGGCTGTGGGGACAAGCCTCTCTTTGAAACTAAAGCCCAAAAGTAAGTCATGCATCGTGCGTAGAATAAATGGGAATAAATACAAAAGTATCCAGTCCGCAGCCTCCGCAGCCGATACATAATCTGTGGCAGACCAGTAAGGCCGCGTACGCAGACTAGGCTCATATTCGTCTTGCGGACCATGACTCCTAGACGGACATTCGGTAGACACAATCGCTGAGCCAAGGAGTCTTTGCGGGACTGCGGGCCTTTCACTAACATTGTCAGGCGGGATGGTCTGGGCAAAGCCCGGCCCTTGCATCAGGTCAAGGTCAACTGCGGGAATAGCGCAGGCTTCGGTAGTTGCATTGGGATTGTATGGCTCTGTTGCGACACATCTACGACCAAGTCTGAGACATCGCTCGCAGGACCCTGACGTAGTCTGTGTGCATCGCATCTGTCGCGAGCATTAGGAAATACAGATACGCAGCAATGAATCGAGTACGTACCTTCATTCGACGACATGCCACACATGCCGAACCGGGCGGACGCCTTCGGGAGGCGGCAGACATGATGTGCGAAAGAGAGGGCCAACAGCCATTGCCCAATTGCAATAGGCTGAGTGTGGAGGTATGGAGGAGAGGCAGAACAGCTTCCTTCGGCGGAGCCGGGTCCGCGAGCCTTGCAGGCAACTATGCACTTATGCTTGGGTATAGCGGGGTATGCGGCCTCGCGTCGATCGCTCGGGCGCTTAACCTCAATTCCCGTATGACGAATCCCTGTGTAGCCATTCGCATCCAGCTCCGAACGCTACTGCTACCATCTACCAATCTCCGGCGCCACATAGATGCCTGCCGCTATCCTCTCCAAGGACAAGTGTTGCCCACTGAATAACCTGGCCAAGATCGCATCCTTTTGCACATGCTGTAAGCCATGGAGTCAAGCGTTGCTCGTAGTAGCGGCGCATCGAAGCAAGCTCATCGCAAAGTGAGGACTGGATGTACTGTCTGCCGTGAGCGACGTATAAAATGCGATGAGCTGAGACCCGCGTGGTAGGCCACTCTCAACCATTTCAACCGCTACTGACACTTCACAAGTACACAATGCCGACGGCTTAAATCCAGGCATCTTAGTGCCGCGAAACCATGCATCTATAACGACAGCGATGTGGGTCAAAGCTCAACCCGGATAGCCGCTACATTGCATTCACACGGAGACGCAAGACTCAAGGTGTGCGCACAGCCTCTGCCTGTGCCGCGATCACTCAGTTTCCCCTGGCCAGTCCCTACCACCGAAATTGAGCAGAGGCTCCTGAGTCGTGTGCATTATGCTTATCAAGATCTGTCTACTACCGGCATCTCGGAGCACTTCACTGGATGCAATCATTTCTCTCGGTATTCGATCTGTCCCGCTGGAAGACAATATCCGGGTATTTGGCTGCTGGCTAACTACATCAGTCTTATGGCCATGGCCGCCCATAATGAGCCGCTGCGAAACTCGCTTTACAGTATCGGAGCAGCCAGCTTGCTTCCTGTAACTCACGATTCGTCGCTGCGCGCCGCCGAAATTCACTATCGGCTCAAGGCGATTGATGGCATGCAAGCCACGATACGTGAATTGGGGGTTAGATGCTACAGCGTTGAAGAAATGTCCAATGTACGGCAAGGTCTTCTTGGATGTGCAAGACTTCTATCGTGGTATGCTCCAGACAAGTATGCATGACGCACCCGCTACGTTTCTCTCTGTTATTGGCTTACGCTAACTCTCGTTCAGAGACGAATATGTTGGTCTCTTAAGAGGTTCTGATGCTGTAAGTGTACCGTCGCTAGATATAGATGCGCTCGTCTCAATACTCGCTACCGAAACGACTTTATCACTGACCAGACTCGACAGCTCGACCGATCACTATCTCAACGGGATCCTGAGACCATTGATCCGAAGATGCAGAATTTCCAATCGCCATCCAAGCCTGATCAGGTGCCGGAGACCCAGGGACATCAGCTCCTGGACCAGCTGCAACGGTCAACACATTATCTAGCAAGACGTTGCAAAGATGATGAAGAGCTTCGCGCAGCGGTCACAGAGCTTGGCTGTCTGGTTTCGAATTTTCGCCATTTCTCTCTTCAATATAGCTCTCTTGAGGACGCCCTAGGCACCATGTACGCCGCTCGTAGCTGGTTGCGCTTCGTTCCCAATGCCACAAGTCGCCTCGCAGCGCGCGACCCTCTTGTGATATTGGTTCTCGCACACTGGGAACTACTCACCTACATCATGTTGACGATGGTGTCATGTGATGTGCGCGCCCTCTCGATGCAAGAGAGGGAGAGGAGCGTCATCAATCTGCTACGCTGTCTCAGTGACGCGTCCCTGCTCCAGCAGCAGCCTATTAACGCTGTCAATGTGAGGATAGCTAACCAGCATAATAAAGCTCGTCTCAAGTGGGTGGCAATCGCCGAGTTGAGTTTGCAATCGTGCGGCGCCAATACAACGCCGCAGCCTGGTATGGTGAGCAACGAACATACATGCTAAAGAATGGTTGGGCGTACCGTGATAGACCTGGTCAACGCTACGCTGACCGAGTCCTTTCATGGGTCAGACGAGATAGTGTATCGTCTTATGCGCATCGCGGCGAGCAAATGTGGAAAGACATGACCCAAGAGTGAGCTATGCCCAATTAAAAAGCATTACGCAGCGTGTTCACCAACTTGGCCTTCGACTTGTTTGGTCACCCTACGTCAGGACCACCTAAGCTACGATATCTTGCATTTTTACCGCTGTTCCATCGTCACAAGAAGCGGGTGGTCAGTGTTTGATGATTTACCTCTAGTCATGTTGTCATGGCATGTATGAGGAATCCACTCAGTGCCACCAGACGCCTCGTTCATGCACCTTTTGTCGGAGCCGGATTGCCGGTCACTTAATCAGGTCAGCACGGGTCCTAAACCTAATTTGACATATGCTGTAGTACCGCGACCCGAGCAGCTGGGTCGACTAAAGTACTCTATGAACGCTACCGAACTGGGACTAATGACAGCACAGCCTTGATCGCTTTGGGTCTGCGCGCTACTAAGCTGTCTTAACGCACCTCGTTCCTGCACGTCTTTTCGGGTATTTCGGTCGCGTCAACGTCTGGTGGGGCCGCTGTCTGGAAGCGGGACAACGTTAAAGCTCCCGCATTGATTTTCCTTAGCGCATCTCGTTCATGCACGATTATTCGGGCAAATCATCGGCACTATCCATATCCGGTGGTGCATTGTGTCAAGTTCGTAGTAAGCCTTCGTCATCACTGGCATACTGGTTTCCTCGGGGTTGGTAGAATAGCGAACCTTGCTTTCACCAGAGGGGTACAGTTGACTTCGTACCATGATATCAAGGAGTCAATCCAGAAGCCGAAACGTTTGCGGAATGAGGCTCGGGAATCTGCAAATTGGTACTGCATAGAAGCAAAGCGCTTACTAACAAGAGTTGCTCCACCGTTCCGCCAATATTGAAGATAGTTCGTACGCTGTGTCTTCCAAAGTTCAATTCAGGACAGAAATTGAAACTGACTCTCTGAGTGATCAATTTCTTCCTGACTCTAGAAAGAGTAGATGCGGCAGCGGAGCGATTTAGAAATGACAAGAGAAGGGCTTTTGCACCAAGGTTTCGTCCATGAGTATATTTGCATGCGACCCAAGACTGCCAATGACGTCCGATTTGGGATCAAGTCTCCGTATTATCAAACAGCCCATTGTTCTCTTGGCAAGCCAGAACAGAATGATTATGAACGACGGGCTCATTTGGGGTTCAACGGCTCATTTCCCGCTTCGTATAGTGGGTGCCTGGATGGTGTGCTGCATTTTTCACGTTGTGTTGCATATGTTGGATAGTTCCTGCTTCGCCAGAGCATGTTTGGCATTAGATACCTCCGCTCCGCCTACGACTAAGCAATTCTACAAATATCGATTCTGGACCCATATGACTAAACTCGTAGTTCGACTGGACTTGTCCAACCTCCTGTGGATACAGCCATATCCTCCGTCATCTGTAAGAGATCAACTTCTGCCAGGGGAACATTGGAATAGTAAGAACCACGTTTCGTGGGTCGCTAACGCAGAACCGACAACACGTCGACCACCACCAAAGCGTTACTGAGCATTTCTGCAATCGTTAATGAGCTACGCCCGTTCCTTGTGCGTCACTTAGGGCTTAACCCACTAGACGGGTGCGGCCAGATAAAGCTTGCGCAGCTTGCTAGAGACCTTGTCTCTCAGCGTAATGCCCTTTCGGGCCGTCGATTCTTAGGTTTGGCTAGGTGATGCCCTCGCTTTGATTTCGAGTCGCTTCGAGGACGTGTTGGGGGCCAAACCCTCTGCGCTTCGGCGAGCGCAGGCAGAATGCTAACACAATTATATCAGCTCCCTCGAAAAGCATTTTCAGGTGTATCTTATCCTCCGGCTCGTCTAAGTCGCTTAGGCAGATATATTTGCGAGCCGTTAAAACTAGCGACATTGCACGAACACCGCTCAGAGGACTTTAGGCCTTGGAAACTTCCGCGCTTATAGAGGCTGATCTTGTGCCCAGGTTCGGACCGCAATCATGTGAGTGTCTAAACATCTCGAGTCTCGCAAGCGGCTGGAGCTGGATTCTTCCCTTCGTTCACATCAATCACTGCATTCAGTGCAGCATAAAGCCTTCTCTGATCAGTCTATACATGCAGCAAATTACTTATCTGTAACAAGCAATGTTGTTATAGAATCGCTAATTATGCGGCAATCTAGGTAGATCGTTTCTTTAGCTTTAAGCTCTAGGTAAGTATAACTTAGGTTAGAATTATAAATAAGTATATCTCTAAGTACTAGGCTTTATAAGTCTTCTATTTACTTATCTAGTCTTTATTTATTAGATTCTAGTAATTTACTTATATTTTGTTTTTTAGTATTTTTAGTAATAAATACTTTAAGATATTATTATATAGAGTTAGGCTATACTTCTTTTAGCTTAGTCTATACTAAAGCGAAGTAGACTAGAGCAGTAGTCTATAAAGTATTATATAGAAAATTAAGTAAAAAAGAATTATTATTATTAACTAAGAGGTAGTAATACTAATTTTATAAATAATAGAATAACTAGTTAATAATCTATATAAGAGATAAACTATTTAAGTTAACTATAATAAGTATAATAATAAAATCTATCTATTCTTTATACTTATTATAATCTATTCTTACTATTATAAGTTTAACTAGCTATTACTAATAGTTATTTCTACTTCTAATAGCTGCCTTTATATATATTCTACTATTACTAATAGCCTTATTTTAGTATAATAGTATATTATATAACCTAAACTCTGCCTTAAATTAGTAATCTTTTATTATAGCTATTCTAATAGTTTTTTTTTATCGCTTATATAATAAAAAAAAGTAACTTCTTATTACTTTATAATAAGCTTTTTATACTTCTAAGTAATAAATAGTTAAAAATACTATTATAAGTTAATAGTAATTTATCTCTAGTCTATATATAATAATATAACTATTATCTATTATTAAGTATATATTTAGTATTATAAGCTTATTATCTAATATTAACTTAAAATTAAACTTAGTATTAATTATATAGATCTAGTAGTAATAGGTCTAGAAAAGGATGCTACTATTAGCCTGTTGTAGCTTTTTTAGCTACAGTACAGTGCGAGAAAGAAATGTTGTACTTTTAGGGTTCGCTTACAGGCAGACCCGCAGGAGACGCAGGTTTGCCTGCCCGCCCAAGCCACATAATACCAAGAACTGTTCACGTAAGCTGAAGCGGGGTAACACCGCTCGTCATGGCGCTTCTGCCTTCTTCTCCACATGGTCAACAATCTATGGTTGTCCGCATCTCGTCATGATCCAACCTTCTAAGGTCCAAGAAAAGCTACCCGAACCGACTGTGGCCATAAGTTCATATTACAAAATCCATGAATGGCAAACGCGCCTTGCACTCATCAAACCGGACGAAGATCTGTCGGCCTGCCTCGAACTCAGCCTTGTTGTCGTTGACTTGGTGGACTTGGATACCGGGGCTATCATTAACCATGACACACTCGTCAAATACGATGCACTTTCATACGCTTGGGGAAATGCAACACCTTCCGCCAAGTGCATTTGCGACGGGAATGCGATATTATTACGCGATAATCTCGATTCGGCACTCAGATACCTTCGAAAGCCACAAGATGTGCGATATGTGTGGATTGACTTTCTTTGCATCAATCAGAACGATCTAGTCGAAAAAGCTTTTCAGATACCTCGGATGAAAACTATCTTCTCCAAAGCAAGTACCGTCGTTGTGTGGCTTGGTAAATCGTTGCCAGTCGCCAACATAACACGGCGTTGCAGTGAAGAGTGCGGGCTGGATGAGGTATACCTAAGTTGTCCAGATCATGGGAATGAACTATGGAAATCAATCCTGGACTATGCATGGTTCAGGCGAACTTGGGTTCGTCAAGAAGTGTTCGCCGCCAAAAAGTTGGATGTCTGTTGTCCTTACTTTTCTGCTACCTGGGAGTCTTTTAATGTAGCTCTACGCTCTGTGGACTACATAGGTACACCTGAGAGCGCTTCCAGTCACGAGGCTCTTCGGAACCTGAATTCACTCAACGAGCTTTATTCGTCTCGGCGATTAGAGCTACTAGACTTGCTCAAGCAAGGGAAAGGTTTTCAGGCTTCAGTCCCACACGACCACATCTTTTCGGTCCTTGGTATGATGTCCACACCTAAGCACAGTGCAACAGAGCCGATCCCAGTAACATATGATAAAACCTACCATGAGGTCTGCGGTGACGCGACTAGGTACATCATACGGGATAGTAAAAGTATTAGTATACTGAGGTGGTGTCCTTCTCAGAAGGATAAGTCCTACGCATTTGATTGGCCAGCAATAGAGGTATCTTGCCCAATCTCGGGTGAAATGGAGCCAGAGATACGGATCGATGAAGCCAACATGTTTTTGGAGCAATTTGACATTGACAACCCAATCAGGAAAGCTAGCGCTCCAATGATGTTGGAAAATATGTACCATCGGAACTCTGGGGCTCTGAGACCATCAGAGAATCTGTTCCCTTCCTCAGCATCAAGTCAATTCAGCATAGCGAGACCTCTTCTGCTTTACGGGAAGCCATGGGGAAAGATAGTGCAGTTCAACACACTTACGACTTACACCGGCGAGCAAGAAGCACATGTGTACTTAGCAGAACATTATTCAGATACAAATCTCAGGATGGAACGATCTTTCCAAGACGATGCCGACGAATACCACGAATTCTTCCTCTACAAGCTTGGCTTGGTGCGCCGCATCGAGGAAGGTAAACCTGTAGAATACGAAATGAAAGCAACTTGGCGATGTCATGGTACTGCTAGGGAAGGCGATGTGTTCGTGTCATTGGAGCCAGATTTGTGGAATTTTGTCCTTCGTAAATGCTCTAAATCAGGCGATCTGTTTGAAGTAGTGGCATGGGGTGGTGAAATGTTCACCAACCTTGTGGGTTCTAATATGCCCGTTCCTGTGCCCGTCAAAGACACATCTGCGTACTATTTGGGCGAAGTTGAAGAGGAAAAAAGAACATGGATATCGGGGAGCTGGCGTCCAAATGATGCACCAGGACCTAGGCAGCGGTTCGAAATCCGATAAAATTCCCAGAGATCAGATGAAACGAAGTGCAATTGGTCATTCTATTCTGCGCTGTTCTGTCAATGTGATGGAGCAATAGTTCAAGTCTGTGAAAAAGGAGACTATGCTGCCGTTTAATGCCAGGTGTAGCCAAGCAGCCAGACACCCATGCATACGTAGAATCTATCGCAACGCATTACGTTTCTATGCAGATGTGTTGCTTTTGGGTGATTGTCCCCAAACGTTAAGTAAGAATGAGACGTTCTCTCCTCAAAGTATGGAAGTCTGGTAGAAGCCGAAAACGCCCCAGTGCTTCTTTCTGCTAACATCCCTGATAACCGCACCATTGTGTGATTCGGCCGTCGACTTCCATGTCCCGACGTCCAAGAACAGTGTCCGCAACGTTTCTTTTTTTTCGCATCCAATGTCAAACTTGCACCGTGTTTCCCAGTCCCGAGGTTCATATCGCGTACCAGCATTGGCGTGCCTTCGTGTGTATGTCCAGTACGTCCTCGACGACCCAACCACGGACGCTGCAGGAGACCAGTATCATCAGATGCATGACTAACATCCAAAGCGACTTGCCAAAGATTTCTTTTTGAACAATGCATTAAAGACGTGTTCTACAAGCTCAGGGTATGGATCACCATCGAATAGCAGTTTGAAGGCGCTGGTCGACATGGCGAGGGCTTGCAAGGCGTTCACTTCTGTCATCCATCGTGCGATTCTTTTTGTTTCGCATTGCGACCATATGTAGTTTTCGTTTCTCTGGTGATTCGCGGGTAAAGAGACCCGGATGACGAGAGGCATGTCCTTCCAGTTTTTGGCATCCGATGGATACGAAAAAAAAAGAACAACAAGCGGTGGTGACGCTTCGCTCAATGTGCCGCTTAAGCATCCGCGCCAGAAGCGGACGAAGGCCTTTTATATGACACCATGAGTACCTAGTAGATTCGTTGTCTTCGATCGATATGATTTGGCGGATATATTTGCGCATCATGATCCGTGCATTCTTTAAACATTCGATCGCAATGGAGGCAACGGAATGCCTGTATTTCGGAATGTTGTCTTAGATCAAAGGTTCATCGTAGGGTGCCCCGCATACGTCCCCATTCACACTCAAGATGCGTTCTGGATGGCTGAGCTCTTTATTTCCAGGTATGTTCCATGGAAGAAGCCCCTTCATGTTTCTTTCTGGAGGAAGTGGTACGAAAAAAAGATGCTGCTGAGCTGGAAGACGCATACCCGAAATTCGTTGTAGACGGTATGGCAACGGTACGCGAGCGATCTGCTGATACGTTCGCCACTCGTAGTCGTTGAAATTCATGTTGTGGGATCGTACACGAAGCCATCTTTATTTTTTGTGTATCGCTCGTAGGTCGTATCCCGAAGCTGGCATTGTAGATGAATTTAGTTGCTGCGGGGTTATGTTCGGATGCGGGTCGAGGGATGCCTGGAAGTGTATAGGAGACGCTATCGAGGCTGTCCGTATCCTCGATGGACATTTAAGCCAGAGTCTCGAACCTGTGCGTTCATCCTGGCGTGGTGTATGCTGGGAGAAGTCTGATGCAATCGATAAGCCAATGACGTTGCCTATATGTGTTGATGTGGAGGCCTGGAGGCCTGAATGCCGTCGAGAATACCGAATCCACGCTGATCGATTTGCGAAACCATGGCCGTACAGTCCCATGGATCCATTTCAACCATGGTACTGCGACGACCATGATGCACACAACACTTTGGCTGCGACCTATCAGCTACACGCTTCTTATGACTGGCCCTTCGAAACAAGATCAGGGCTTTCCCTTAAGCTCAAAGTATAGTTCCCAGTGATTTTTGCAACCTGGATTGAATGCGCTCGCACATTGCGTACATTTGCTTCCGCTCTCCATGTATTCGGAAATAGTCAGAATGTGCTTGCACTGTCCGCATAGTATTGCACTCTCGTCTCTTCGCGCAAAAGGCCAGACAAAAGACATGTGTGTTTCGCAGGCGTCATGACAGCTGATGCAAGCGTAGAACTTTTGACAGCAGAAGTGCTTGATGGCGATGATGTCGAGCGGAGAGTGCCAGTGAGCGCATTGCGTCAGCGGTGTCACAGAGACGCCGTGAACGGTCACAGAGATGCCATGAACGATTGGAGCTTCTTGGGTATTGGATATCACGGTAGTCTCGGGCATGTGGAGCTGTTCATCGGAGCTTCTGGGCTTGGGTTGTCCACCAGAGCTTTTGGACTTGGGCTGTTCACCGGAGCTCTTGGGCTTGGGGCCCTGCCGGGTTCCGCGCATCTGTTGTTTTTGCTTTCTGAACTTCTCACGGCGGTCAGCAAGGTCGCCGTAACGCTCACGATCGTGGAGGAGCTTGTAACCGGTGCTGGGGTGTATATTAAAGTCTTTAAAGATGTCCCGCGCCGTTCGCTCGCCCTTGCGCTCAAAAGCTTCAAAAAACCGTACCCGACGAGGTGTGTCCATGTGTTTCTTTACCGTATGGCCGGGAGGTTGTCGGCGAGGCATTTGCGCGCAAAAATATGGGGTTTATAGGTGGTTGTGTTATTCCGGTTGTCCAGCTAGAGCTTGCATGTGGATGATGTCGGCCGGCTGTGAGGCTGAAAGCTAAGGAGCAACAGCATGCGGGACGATCACGTTAGCGACCCCACTCTTTCATCATCGCTTCGTCCGGCAACATCACGAAGCAGGTGGCGTTGTGCTGTAACATGCCCTTTGATCAATGTATGAAGTAGGAGAGTATGATAGATATCTCAGCGTTCTCAAGTACTACGCGTGGCTTCCGTATCTACCCGACACCCTGATGTCGAGCTGTGATGAATGTGTAACGCATCATCGCGATAGTTGCCAATAAAAAGAAGAAATTTCAACATGTCTCCATTGTTCCATAGACAGCTCACCCAAGCCCGAGTTTTGCCGGATGCTGTAACAGCTCAGAATGATCCGACGTCACTAGCCCCGCGGTAACCCCACTAAAGCTGTAAGAAGTGCTGCTGCTCAACAACAACAGCTTCTTCATCTCAATTCCACACTTCAATCTCAACTTGACACTTTTGATACCCCTACATACCACCTTTTTATCCAAAAATCTCAACACAACCGCAAACATGGGTCGCCAATTCTTCGTCGGAGGTAAGCAATACAATTTGGGAGCGGCATTGAGATAAAACTAACGGCAATCAGGTAACTTCAAGATGTTCGTAACTTCACAAGCCGTGAGTCGCTCAATAGAGGAGAGAAACTGACGAAACTAAGGAACGGCTCTATTAAGAGCATCACCGACATCGTTGAGAACCTGAACAAGGCCAAGCTCGACCCCAACACAGGTACGTTGAAAGGCATCTTCAGCGACCCAAGAAGGCGCAAAATCCATCACATTAGCAAAGTACAACAAATTAACCCTCAACCAGAGGTCGTCATCGCACCCCCAGCCCTCTACCTCCTCCTCACACGCGAGCACCTCCGCAAGGGCCTCGAGGTTGCAGCGCAAAACATCTTCGACAAGCCCAACGGAGCCTTCACTGGCGAGATCTCAGCTGAGCAACTCAAAGACAGCGGCATCACCTGGACCTTGGTTGGACACTCGGAGCGTCGCCAGATCCTCCAGGAGAACGACGACTTCATTGCCAACAAGACAAAGACAGCCACCGACAACGGTCTTGGTGTGATTCTGTGCTGCGGCGAGAGCCTGGAGCAGCGTGAGGCGGGCGAGACCGTCAGCGTTGTTACCAAGCAGCTCAAGGCTGTTGCGGACAAGGTCAAGGACTGGAGCAAGATTGTCGTTGCTTACGAGCCCATCTGGTGCGTTCATTCTTTCCAACTACAATGCATCTGCAGTCACTAACGGATAACAGGGCCATTGGTACCGGCAAGGTCGCAACCACCGAGCAAGCACAGGAGGTCCACGCCGCCCTCCGTGAGTGGCTCAAGAAGGAGGTCTCGCCCGAGGCCTCCGAGAAGACCCGTATTCTGTACGGTGGCAGTGTCTCGGAGAAGAACTGCAACGAGCTTGCCAAGCAGGCCGACATTGACGGTTTCCTCGTTGGTGGTGCTAGCTTGAAGCCTGCCTTTGTTGACATCATCAACGCTAACCAGGCATGAATTCCGCGAAGTGATGGCGCTCGTCTATAGATGATTTGAGCGTGCTTCGGCAACGATCTTATGAGAGACTTGAGCTGGCTATAAAAAAGAATCATGTAGAGTCAGCATAATGAACGTTATGAAGATCAACTGTGTTGGTCCCAAACATGTCCGTGAAGTCAGCTTATTTGATACATTGTTTGTACAATTGTTGTGTGTATGTGTGTTCCAAACGGTATATGTCGCTCGTATGTCTTTGAGCATAGTCGGACCATGTCGACTTCTTCGACAATAATCTCACAGAAACATCACACATTTCGTCATCCAGCAAAGCCGGCCCTATGCCAATTGCTGGACCCCCATTGTGTATATCACCCATATCCATCCACCCTCCATGCTCATATCTCGATCTTGCTTCCGTGGAACGGACTCCAAATACCCCTAACGCTCTCATTCAAACTCTTCACTGGTCGTCCATCCAGTTTCCTGTTCTTCTCCCCTGTGCTGTTCCTCAGCATCTCTGCCTTTTCCCTCACGCCCTCATTTTGTAGGTTCTTCACACATATTGATCGTTGGGCGCCGTTGAGGTAGTTTGCAATGATTACGGGGTGTTTGCGTGGCCGTGGGCTGACGGAGATTTCAATCTGAGGGTTGCGCTTGGCGAATGCGGGCAGCGAGGCTTTGAGGAAGGCGTTCATGCCTTTGGACGACCCCCACCAGTTGCAGTAGTGGAAGGTGAGGGACTTGCATGGGAGGACAAAGGCTCCTACGCCGTTCTGCCGTGGTAATCAGCACCGGGGAGTGGCGAATGAGGGGATACGTGTGTCTGCGAAAACATACCTGAGCCTTTGCGACCGTCTTGATAGCCGAGACAGGCATGTTGGCGTGCAATGGCGGTAATGACGGCGGTGCAGTCACCAGTCTCGACGTCCCCAAAAGTTTGGCGTTCATCTCACGTGCGGCAGTCGCAGCCTAGGTTTGCGCTAGTGCGAACTCCGCGTCGCAGCTTCCTCGAGCAGTTCATCCCCCCCCCAAAACATCGACTCCTCATTCCACCCTTTGTAATTCCAACTATCCCACATCGCTGTCTGGAGCGCATTCCAGAGAAAAACAAGCCAGCATGACGCATCTACTCCCCCCGATGCTGTTGAACCTGTTCGCCCCGCGGCCGCCGCTGCGATGGGTTGAGCCGGCCGACCACGCGCCTGAGAAGCGCTGCACGCCCAAGATTGGTGGCGTGGGCCAATACCTCGAGGCGTTGAGGGAATACAAAGATAACGACGGCTATGTGCCCACCGACAGCTGGCTGCAGAAACGCGACCGCAAGAAGCTCGAAAAGAAGGAGAAACAGGAGCACCTGCTTACCGAAGGGGTCAAGGATTGTACGACATCACTACGCGCACTTTTCATCCCACTTGCGCAATCACTATCTGCGCCCATATGCTAACATCACACAGACAAACCCTCTGAAGATCCCAAAGTTCAGGGCGACGCTTTCAAAACGCTCTTCGTGTCGCGCTTGTCGTATGGCGTCACTTCTGATGACCTCGAGCGCGAATTCGGCCGCTACGGTCCTATTGAGCGCATTCGCATCGTCGAAGACGTTACTCAGCCCGCCGACGCGCCAGCCAAGAAGCGAAAGCGCGGTTACGCTTTCATCGTGTTTGAGCGCGAAAAGGACATGAAGGCCGCCTACAAAGAGACGGACGGTATCAAGATCAAAGATCGCCGCGTACTGGTAGATGTTGAGCGCGGTCGCACAGTCTCTGGATGGCGCCCTCGTCGCTTCGGTGGCGGTCTCGGTGGACGAGGCTACACCAAGGGCCCGCCTGCTCGCGGTCCGAGTGGAGGTGGCAGCCAATTCGGCGGCCCCCCAGCTGGCCCTGGTGGCTTCGGAGCTCGTGGCGGCGGCTTTGGTGGTGGTTTCGGCGGACGAGGTGGCGGCCGTGGCGGCTTCGGCGGCGATAGAAGTGGTTTCCGAGGTGGATTCGGAGGCGGAGGCCGTGGCGGTCGTGGAGGAATCGGTTACCAATCCAATGGCTATGGTCCCCCTGACGGCGCACCAGCAGGCCCCCGCGGCCCTCGAGGCGGTGGTGGATTTGGAGGCGATCGAGCTGGGGGTGGTGGACGATACGAAGATCGTCGTAGTGGTGGCGGCTTCGACAGAGGTTCCAGCGGTGCTAACAATGAACCGCTCGGTAGCAGAGATCGGTATCGCGATCGCGACAGTGGTGGATACGGTGGAGGCCGAGACGACTCCAGGAAGCGCGGTTATGAAGGCGACAACTACGACGATCCGCGACAGCGCCGCAGATACTAGTCTGATTCGATGTTGGCTCGGATGTCTCCACTCGCTGAGCGAAGTGTCCTTCTGCAAGGGTTTGTCAAAAGGTTACCTCCCTTTTCTTCGCCTCACCTTCACGCTTTCTCGCCTTTGAGGGTAAGATCTTGACGTTCGACCATACAACACAGCGATGCGGATCTGGATGGTAAGGGTTGAGATGTGTTACCTCTAGGTTGACGATCGGTCGTCGTTATTTTCTCATCGGCTCTTCGAGTTTCAACTCATCGATTAAGCAAAGGTACAGCAGCACCTCACAGTCGGCCACAGTCACAATTCTTCACCACCCAGGTTCGCACAGGTTTGGTTAGGCCAGGACGGGGATTTTTCTCGATGGGTAGGCGCAAGGTGAACTTTTTCCTCCGCATGTTTTACTAGCTTCTTTCTTTTTTTCGCGTCCCTGACTTTTCGTTGGTCTTTGCGAGTGGCTGGGTAGGTATAATGTAAGTTTATAAGCACGATTTGTGTTTTGAGTAGTGCAAAGATGGTCCAAGGTAAGGTTAACAGGTAAGGATGTTTTGTCTTCCGAACTTGGTTGATCTTATCGTGATGGTGTTAGGTCCTATATGGAAAGCATTCTTGGCTGTTAGTGCACCATATTCTGAGTTATGTGGATAACTATCATTACAAGCACGGCAGTCGAATACAAGACTTGACATACAGATTCATTCGCCTCGCATTTTGATTGAATTTCTCCCCACTCTTCCCGCTTCGTTACTTTCAAATGTCCAACTCTACTCCAGCACTGTCCAAGAACCATGGTGCCTCAGGATGTTTGACAGGTGGCGGCAAGGAGGCACATAAAGACGATAACTTCATTCTCAAGATAGAGCATGTAACCAAAAGCAGCTCCTGAGTTGGACGGAAAACTAGGACGGCGAATCGCAGCAAGCATTCGCACCAGCCAAGCTCGTAAGTGCACATGGCCTCTATCTTGCACCTCAAGGCTAGCGTGTGTAGGGTTTCCCTGACCATCCAACCAAACCACATATGGACATCCGCCACAGCTGTCTCATTTAAACAGATTAATCTACGTGTTCCTCTCCTCTGACAGTCCAATGAACCTTGCAATCAGCCTTCTCCGCACGCGGAAAGTGATGAACGACAAATCCCCGAAGATATTGCATGGCGACAACCATTTACACTTTCCTTGACATCTGTTCGACCATACATACAATCACCCTACTCAGCTCGAACTTCGGTAAATGGATGTGACACCAGATCATAAAAGTGCTATCCATGGATTACCACTTGCTCGTATACAAGCAGCTTACGGTGGGCTACCACCTTGCTCACTACTACCACGTGCGTCCTGAGTATCGATTCAACACTGTAAACGATGCTTACCTCTCATAATCTACGAGACACGCATCGTACGACTTGGACAAGGTCACGTGGGGCGGATTATTCAACCTGCTCGTCAACATCCTTAAAACTCTTCCTTGACTGAGCGAACCGGTACCCTAGTTCTTAAGCAAAAGCTCTCACTGGGAGAAGGGCGTAAAAATTGAAGTGGCTGAAGCGGAGAGTCGCAACAAGGAGCAGAGACCGTTGAAACCACGTTAGGCAAGAGAACTTCATCACGAATCTAGCAATTCGTTACTAGGCCCGGCTCATCTTAAAACAAGTGCCTTTTTCTGCTGCTTAGAATTCTGTACTTTGTAGGATGTGGTACTTACTTTTTCTTCCTAGACATCAATAGCTTGTAGACGCTTGTGCTCGATTGTTCTTTAGTCCATCTATCAGGCGACTATGCAGTGATGCACAAAGCAATCTATGGATTACAGCCCGACGAGGCAGCGGAGCTCTCGTACACGAATTAGCAACGATAAAAAAGCGGGGCCTCGCTACCCTGCTAGCACAAAGGCTTTATACGATTAGCTAGCTCTATAGTAAGCAGAAGTGAGCTATAAAAGGAGTTTAATAACGAATTACTGTAGGGATACCTCTAGCAGCTGTCTACGACAACTCTAATAGGCGTTAGGGTGCCTATTAGGAAATACGAATCACGACTAAGGTCGTGATCCAGCACGCACAAAGCAATCGTTACAAGCAGTAATTAAGACACTCTGCTGAGTCTCTGTGTAATATGTAGTCGTGCATAGCCGTAAGTTTAGTAGGGTCTTAGTGGAAACTCACTGCTTACTTGTGATGATGCTAACCGTGATAGGTTTCCCGATATCATCTGGCCACGCGATACTTGAGGACCTCGATCAGGCGTCAGGTGGTCTGGTGCTAGTCCGAAAAGAAGCTGAACCCAAGCCACAATCGACGCAAGGACGCTCCGACATGCGACCAATCACAATGCTTCCCTGCTCAAACTTGACATACGATAGGGACGTGATTGACGTGCGCCTAGATGTTCTCGCAGCAGAGCTTGCGTGATGTGAGCCTCAGGATGAACGAATATAAAATCGCTGAACTTGACTAGAACCTTTGGAAAAAGTATCAACAGCACTCTAGTGTTTGAATAATCCGCTTACTACCAGCTTCCAAGATCGATCTCAAACTTTATACCATTGTTTCATTATTATCTTTTTGCAAGGATGGGCTTCGATCACGGCGATCACTTTTTCCTCAAAGGACTTATCACACAGATGACTTTTGAAGAAAAGGTTTCGCTCCTTTGTGGCTCCTCATTTTGGGAAACATCTGGCATCGATAGACTCGGCATACCGCGCATGAAGCTTACCGATGGGCCAAGTGGCGCTCGTGGAGAAGACTTCAACAGCGGATTGTCGAGCGCGTGTTTCCCCGCAGGTATCACTCTTGCTGCTTCCTTCAGCGAACAGCTCGCTCGAGAAGTAGGAAAGGCACTAGCTCAGGAGACTCAGACAAAGGGTGCCCGAGTCCTGTAGGTAGCTCACTATCTGTGTTAGCAGTCGATGGAGCTGACTATGTCCTCAGACTTGCACCGACTGTATGCCCACACCGGCATCCACTTGGTGGTCGCAACTTAGAGTCTTTCGGCGAGGATCCTTTGCTTGCTGGCCGTCTCGCAACTGAGTACATCAAAGGCATCCAAGGCGAGGGTATTGGGGCTTGTATCAAGCACTTCGCAGCTAACGAACAAGAGACCAACCGATCCAGTATTGACGCCCGTGTAGGCGAGCGCGCTCTTCGCGAGATTTACATCAAGCCTTTCGAAATCGCGATCAAGGGTTCCCAGCCGTGGTCTATCATGACGGCGTACAACGTCGTGAATGGTACGCATGCGGACTCGAACAAAACGCTGTTGAACGATATACTTCGAAAACAGTGGGGATATGATGGTCACGTTGTTGCCGATTGGGGCGGAATGAACTCGCTAGCTACAGCCCTCAATGCCGGCGTCGATCTTGAAATGCCCGGTCCGGCTAGCTGGCGTACTGTCGAGAACATCCAAAGAGCCCTTGATAATAACGAGGTCTCCATGGAGACATTGGAGACGCGAATCTTCGAGAATCTGAAGTTCCTCCAGCGGAGCGGCGGATTCGACCACGCGACCATTCCCCTTGAGCGCGCGGAAGATCTTCTGGAACATCGAGCCCTAATCCGAAGAGCTGGAGCGGAAAGTGCGGTACTGTTAAAGAACAAGAACGACGTGCTTCCCCTCAATAAAGAGAAGATAGGCTCCATAGCTATGATCGGCTTAGCGAAACAATGCTTGAGCCAAGGCGGCGGTTCTGCCGCAGTCAACCCGCACCACAACATCACGCCTTTCAAGGCTTTCGAGGAAGCTGTCGATGGTAAGATTCAGCTCAGCTATGCTGAAGGAGCTCCTGTACTCCGGAATCTTCCTGCTTGTTCCAAGGACGTGGTCGATCTCGATGGCAATCCTGGTTTTTCCTTCCAGTCGTTTAACGAAAAAGGAGAGGCTGGGGTAACGAAAAAACCAACCAAATCTGACATTTCAATCAAGAGATCCAACTGGTTATTCTCGCGTGATCGTCACCGGTATATTCACTCCTTCTACATCCGGTAAACATTACATCAGCTTGGCCACCCTAGGAAACACCAAGGTGTACATCAATGATGAACTTGTTTACGATATAGAAGGCAAGTCTGCCGATGTCTACGCTATATTGATAGGTGTCGCGGTCGAAGAACAGAAACAGTTCGATTTCGTGGCAAATAAGCCGTATCAGATCCGGCTAGAAGCATCTACTGTGGAAGATCCAGACGTCAAAGAGTCGTTCATGTCTAAATGCCTTGGATTCAACTTTGGATTCATGGAGCAGCATCTCATGGAAGCTGATCTTCTTCAAGAAGCTATCGACGTCGCTAGTTCATCTGACGTGGCAATTGTGTTTGTCGGGAACACACCGGCTTGGGAGACAGAAGGAGCGGATCGAATCACCATGGCTCTTCCACGTGACGGCTCATTGGACCGACTGATCACTGCTGTTGCAGCAACGAATCCTCATACCATCGTCGTCAACTCCACAGGTTCTCCTATAACGATGCCATGGTTACAAGACGTATCTGCAGTTCTGCAGGCGTGGTTCCCAGGTCAAGAAGCTGGTTACAGTATTGCAGATGTCATCTTTGGATCCGCGTGCCCAGGCGGAAAGCTGCCCGTCACTTTCCCGAAGGCACTTTCCGACGCGCCAGCATTCGATAATTTTCCAGGTAATCTCGAGGCCAACTTTGTCGAATACAAGGAAGGCATCTACATAGGCTATCGTCACTATGATCGCAAGCCAGAGACCATTCTGTTTCCTTTTGGATTTGGTCTTTCGTACACGACCTTCGACGTCAGTAACGTCTCAATTTCATCGACGTCGCTGGAAAAGGGCCTGTGCCTCACGGTGACCGCACATGTCACTAACACTGGCGCACGGCCGGGAAGTGAGACTGTACAAGTGTACGTTGGTCCTAGCAATGAAGGAGCGATTGACAGGCCACTGAAGGAGCTTAAGGGGTTCGCAAAGGTGCACCTATGTCCAGGGGCGCAACAGAGTATTTCAGTATCTCTGGAGGCCGAAAAATTCGCGTATTTTAACGAAGAGAGGGGAATGTGGGCTGTTGATGCAGGCGAATATGCTATCTTTGTGGGCGTTTCAAGTGCTCAAATTGTTTCCACAAAGAAAGTCGATATGTCAGCTTCTTTCGAGTTCGATGCTTGAGCAGGTGACTTGGGATGGCCATGGCAAATATCGCTGTGCGACACAACATTGAGCAGCGCATCTTCTGGTAGTATCGATATGATAGACGTGTTGAGCATAAGACGCCTGTACAACGCTGTTGAATCACACTGTATTGTATCGCGATAGAACTGTATTTGTAAATACTTGGCTTTACTACATGCAGCTTTCTATGTAATTATTCGGAGAATCTATCGATTGAAGCCGAAGCCATGAATCTCATGCGGTTTGAAAGAGCTACCGTGGAGCTCTGAACAGTCAAGTTGATTTGATGAGAGATTCGGAGCTGAATTATCACGGTGGAGAGCATCTCAATAGAACTAGACTAGTTACCATGGCGGTGCACACATGAGCGTAATGATGCGTAAGCATTTGCGGTATGCAGGCCATTATATCGAGGCAGAGCTCTTTGATTTTACCGTCAAGGCTAAGATCTTTAGGCAGCTGGAGAAAGTATCGATAAAAATTAGATGCAAGCTTCTGTATGCTCTTCTGACAATCGACTCTGTGGTAGATCCTGGACTACGCCCGGTTTTATATGAGCTGTTTTATCATGAATACGATTTGGAAAAGAAATGACCTGTATAGCTGTGCGGCACACTGGATTACATGGCACTGTCAATATGTCGAGGACGAAAAATTCCCAAGTCAGGTTACGATCATGTATTAGCAATTCAGCATTGCCTTCACGAAATAGCCTCTGGTATCTCTGAAGCCATTGAGGATCTTGAGGAAGCAGGATATGGTGGAACATTTTCTAATAACGAAGTCGAAGCGCTCCTCCTCAAACCGTGCGATGAGATTAGCGAAATATTTAAGAGAATGAGTTTGATCTATCCTTATGGTTTCTGATTTTACTGGACCTTTGAGGCACGTCTTTCGACAGGGAGAAGAGCGCTGAATCTTACATAGTCGCGCCGATATAGATTCCAGGAAGATAAGGCAGGAGGTGTAGTGGAATGTATCATATCTTCTTTCTGTTACATGGGATTCTGTATAGTGTCAATGCCCGTGTCCTTTTTCGTGTTTTCACTGTGAGTTACAATCTATCTCTGGGCTATCGAGCATCATCTCGATAGGTGACTAGTAAGGTAGTGTTTTCATCTACTTCTTGTTGTGCAAAGATGTGTATAAATCTGTAGTCTCCGAAAGAATGGAACACAACCACTAAGGGACATTCTGTACTACTCTCCAAATACAAAAGCATCGACCTCCTACTCAGCCGTCATGCCCAATGTTCTTCAGTCCACCCTGTCTAGTCCAGAACGCATGCCAGGCCTTCTGCCACCGCTCCTTCTTTAGCCCCTCCAGCCACTCCTTCACCGTGCGATCTTTTTCCCCATCAATCCGAATAACCCCGTTCTTGATGCCCCGCCAGTTCTTAATCGGAGCCTTGATATAGCGGTGATTCGGGCCGCAGAAGCTAAGCCAAGGCTCTGGGATCTCACCTGCTGTCTGCTTCAAGCGCTTCTTGTGGCACTCTTGACACAGATCGCAGTTGGGACAGACCAAACAGAAAAAGAATGGTTGACTCCAGGAATCGATGAATGTGCCACAGCCGCCGTCGCAGCCGATTTTGATGCCGTTGAGGTCTTCGTCAGCCTTGGAAGTGGTTGCGATGGTGGGAGCCTTGTCATCTAGGGATTCCACAAAGTTCACGACTTGGACTGAGTAGTCGTTCATAGTAGCTGGCGCCGTATCTATGAGAGCCTGTGATATAGGCATCATAGACTCACTCGTTTGAACCGGCGTCAGCATCAACCTTTCCGTGACAAGCTGTGTAGGCTCAATGCTTACTTCGACAATCTCATCGTGCGTTGTCGTCCTGTTATCAGCGTCTGAGTCGATATTTCCCGAGTTCGAAGCCGATTCCACGATGTCGAAATCAGCGTCTTCCCCATACAGGGTACGGTCCAAGACAGAAAACTGCGCAGAGCTTGCAATCATCGCATCTCTCTCTAGGCCATCCAGTGAAGCCAGGACCTTGGCTAACAGTCGCAGGTTGCGTGAGTCATTCCAGGCAATGTCATCTTCAAGGCCGCGCATACACTCGTTGAACAGCTCATTCATATACTTTTCGTACTTTATCGCGGGGCCCATGATGCGAAGCATATTTGTGCGAAGCATAATGATGTGCGTGCCTGAAGTGTTGTCTCTATCGTCTTGCTTGCTATCTTCGTCGTCGACGTTCCGAGAAAGCTTCAGGTCCTTGATTAGCTGTTCCTTCTTCTGAGGTTCGATAGACAACTGGAATTCGTGGAAAGAGATGTCTGCAAGTTTCGAGCGGATTTCCGATTGTGCTGCCTTCATATTGTCCTTGTACCACGAGTCATGCTGCGGTTCCATCTCCAACATCTCAAAGCGTACACTTCTGCCTTTCTCAATATCGCCTAGTACCGGGTAATACATGGTAGCGATTGCGGCTTTGACATTGAACAGGTAATAACTGTTAGCTGAAATCTTGCTGGCCAAGGCTGACAGCCAGGAAAGGAGTGCATCGGTTTTGTTGGCCAGTTTTGCGGCTCTCAACATGCGCATCAATGCGCCTTGGCCTATGCTCGTCTCGAAACAATAGAAGAACCAACTATTTCGTTCTTTCTCCGTCCAACCCGCAAGCAAGTTCATTAGCTTGGATCCGTCTTTGTCATTTTCTTCGGTAAACAAAAGAGTGATGTCGTTTAGAACGGAGCCCATCAGAGGCTGTTTGCCCGCCATAGCTCTGGTTTGATTGAACATGCGCAGCGCATTTGCCGTATCGCTCTTCTTTGCGTACACGGCAGCTTTGGCGAGTAAGATGTCCAGCCGTATGTCGTCGACATCTTTCTGACCTTCTCGAGACAGTCCCTCCACGCGCGGGGGCAACATTGCGTATGCCTGATCGTACGACTTGATCGCGTGAGCAGTCTGATCGTTCGAGGTGTACGTTGATGCCAATATGCGAAGTGCTGCCACCTTTTCCAGATTGTCTTCTTTCATAAGAAAGACACTCTGCTCCAGGTACACGATACTCATCTCCATCAATTTCCTCTGACGCACTTTGTTTGGCTCTCGGTAGGCGTAATCAGATAGTGTCGTTCCGAAAGCCCTAAATGCCTCGTAATTAGCGATGGAGACATCTCTTTTCTCCTCGATGGCTCTGATGTCTCGGAGTGGCTCGGCGTCGTTAGATTCAAAGGCATCCATCTATGTCTTGTTAGAGATATCTTTAGATGTGGGCGATTGGCTTACAAGAAGAAGAGCCGCTTTAGCAAACCGAAATTTTTCAAGGATCCATACTTGATCGGTCGCCGTCAACCAGTTCTGAACATGTCCCCTAGCCAAGGGCAGCAGAATATTGGTTTCCTTGACTTCCTGTATCCAGTCTCTAACTTCAACTTGCAAAGACGCCTCTACACGTGGCTTGGCCCTAGCAAGCCATGAGACAAGTATGTCCGTCCAGGGATTAGCGATGCCATTGGCCCGCTCCGGATAGATATCTGTAGGCCTTGCCAATCTCTCAAACAACTTAGCCAAGTTGTTTTGGTTCTGCGTGATGCTGTACAATGACGTGACTACCTGCTGGATAGCGTCATCTGTCATGCTTGTCACGTCCAGCTCTTCCAGATGTTCATACCAATTCTGTATGGCGTACATCGCAAGCTCAGAGCTTTGCCGATTCTCCGAGCTCTCAGACGCCTTAAGCATAATTTCGATGCACATTTGGAGAATAGTGAGATGCGCGGCGGTAGCAGGTGTCCGAAACTCGATCTCGCTATCAGCGTCGATACTCGTACTCGTGAAATATTCCCGTAGAGACCGATCTTGAAAAGCAAGAGGCAGCTTCCTATATTGAAGCTCGGGAATGATGTTCTCCTCTACGCTGTCGAGATTAGCATACTCTTCGTCGCCATCTACAATATCCCCATATGTCTGCCTGGGCTGATTGAGTTCGAGTATTCGGGATGAACGTCCAACTACCTCTTCTTCGACGTCAAATGTGTCGTCAGATAACGTTAGCTGAACCAAACTCGACGCCTCAGCTAAACTTAGCGAACGCTTCGAGAATGCCAGCCACGCAAACAGCTTCTTCATGGCTTGGTATTGCGCATCCGAGCGACCACTGCGACATTCCGCCAGGAGAAGCTTGTAGAGATCATGTAGGGTACGTGGCATCCTTTCCAACTCTTCTAAGACCGCCTGACCGCGGCCAATTGACGCGAACCTTCTGACCATATGCTCGACGTAAAGCATGCTGTCAGCCTGCTGCACTACCTTGCGAATGATCGTCTTCTTGATAGCTGGGCTGAACTTGCGTACGCGTGGAAGGGTCTGCAAACGGTGTTTTAGAAGTTCCCGAATATCGAGTTGGATGTTCTCCTTCTTGATCTCGATGACGGAAGGGTTCAGCAAGCCGAGTACGGCTGTATCTTCTGGTCTGCTAGTTACCAGAACTGAGATGTTGGCATTCTTACGCTTCAGATCGCTCAAAAACCGTGACAGAGCCCCTACAGGCTGCAAGTAAGCCTCGTCTAAACCGTCAAAGACAAGGAATAGACGGTCCATAGCCCCTTCACCACCTGGAAATCTTGACAAAAAGAAGCGCTTCCAAGTGGGAACGTCGTTCAGATCTTCAGCGCTCTCCCGGAGGTCGGCTGCTACCTGTTCGGCATATTTGGTATGGGTATCCGCAAGTTGAAGCGCAGATGAGGCGAAAGCGTTCTGTCTTGACTGCAAGTAAGGAAAAGCCTCTTTGAAATAGAAGTAAGCCACCCAGATGTGTTCCTCCTGACGTTTGCGAAGATTTTCGATGATGGATTGTGCAAGGAATGACTTGCCAACACCCTCAGTGCCTTTCAGCCAAAGTATGGGTTCCTTACCATCCACCCAATTCTTGAAGCTCTGATGTTCGAAAACCCATTGGGCAGTATTTTGAACCCGCGAGCCGCACAAGTCTTCATGTATGGCCAAGTTCTCTCGATGGGCGTCCATCCAAAGAGGGAAGGTGGCTTGGTTTCGAGTGAAGAACTTTTTGATCTCCCTCACGGCTTGAAAATTGCCACCACTGGCGTTGCTTCCTAGATCTTGATCCTGGATACGTGGTTCCCCTTGGCCATGTCTTGCTTTAGAAAGCTCCGAGAGCATTTTGGCCATCGCATTCTGACTCTCAAGCAATTTCTCGTGGTTCTTGGCAATCTTGTGGTTCAATGCAAGGCTCTCGTCCAGTCTAGCATTCACAGAATAGAACCCGTCTTTGATCACAACTTCTAGCTTCAGACTTTCCGCGTATACCTGCTGGATGTCTTGCCCGAGGTCTTTACGAAATGAACTCAGTTTGACATCCAGACCTTCCATCTTGGATCTGTTGATGGCCATGTCATCCTTGACATCTCTGATGGCACTGTAACTTTCAAACCCTATGGCCTGGTCGAGCTCTTCAATTGAAGCATGCATTGCAGCATACGCGGTTGCCAGCTTCTCGTCTTCTGCCTCCCACAAAGCCTTGAAAAACTGTTCTATAGGCTATTAGCTAATATAACAGTACCAGGGAGGATGCAATCTTACTCATACGCTTGGCTTTGCCTTGGATCAGGTATCTCACTCTTCCACATACAGTCAATTGCTGTGAAAAAACTCGAACGATGGCGATGGCGACCGCGTCGGAGTCTGCCCGGCTTTCACAAATCGCTAAACGTTCAAAGAATCGTGAAGAGTACCCAAAAAACTCTTCGATTCGATCATACTCTGCCCTGACAGCTGAAAACGCCTGCTGAACTTCAGTACTTGTAATGTGCCTTGGTCGATTTCCACTCACCGATATTAAGCCACTTGCAGCCGTGAATATAAGACCCACTGGCATTGCGGGTGGAAATGCACCAGCAGCAGCCCCAATCTCAGCCAGTCCATTGATACATTTCTGCATACTACCAAGATGATCACCCATGGCTTGTCGAAATCTGTCCCCCTTACCGCCGCTGTGTCGAGAGGCACCAAAACTCTCCATGCTGTAGTTGACATTGTTCATCACTTCATTAATATTACTTGCTTTCATGCCCTTGAGGTTTTCTCCACACTCCTCCCGATACTCCTCCAATGCTTTCTGCCATAGTCGACCGAGGTCAGTGGAGCTGCTTGTTTGCGCAGGGCCCTTCGTCATGATGAGTTAATAAAACAAAGAGGTGAATGAGTCGCTCGAAAAACGAAATTCAAAAGGACCAGAATCTTTCTGCAGATGTCTTTGTGTCGTGATATGTGGTAAAGAAGAGAAATGCAAAGCCTCTATCTGCTTCACCAGCCATAAAAAGATGGCACTCACGTTGATGGGCATGTCCAAACCTGCATTGTGGATACACAATTTTGAGTTGTGGTGCATACATCCAATCCGTGGCCATGAGAGAGCCGTAGCGCCATCCCCGATGATCGCGATAGGATTTGCGAGCCAATCAGTACCAATGTGGGAACAAGAGACATACGGTCGGTGTGATGGGAGATCTGCTCCCGCAGCATATATGACGGGATCGGGTCGATCATGAATACGTCGATCACATGGATCTGTGTGATGTACCAATGGGATCAGTTATGTCGATGTGATTGCGTGTCTATGGAAAAGAGTGGAGTGCTCGGCACCGCGTTGGGAAGCAGCGCAGGCAAGGCTAGCTGAAAAGAAAATGATTAGTACCCACTGACGTAAGAGTCGTTCAATGGCAGGCCGGCCTCTCCTGCCCGACCTTGCTCGTGTCAAATCTGATCTCAATCAAGAGTTGTCACCCCAAAATACCGCAGGATCGGCAGCATACTTGAGCACATGCGACACCAGGTTTTAGGAGAAAACTGAATAGCTTTGGGTGGCAGCCTAGCGCTGGGTGTTCGATGTTTTTCTAAGACCCAGTGCGATGGCTGCCAGGAGGAATCTCCATTCCCCATCGAATCTTAGTACTCGAGGGAAGATGACCAAGACCTACTAGATCCAACGGACCAGCTGCTGAAGATCAGTTAACGGATCGGCACGTTAGAGAAGCCGTCATTGTCCAGATAATGATCCGATTGGGCGCCGTGGAGCGCTTTGTTCGGCGACTCAGGTTGATACCGTGTCCGTGCACGAAATGATCGCGATTTCGTCATTGCTTCACACCCTGTACAGCTTAGCGCAACAATGACTTTGAACGGAGCCTTTACACAGCTGAATTATCTCAAGTCTGATGAAGGCATGAGTTGCACGGAAATCATCGTAAACCATAGCGTTGCTTGTTCAATGTCGTCGCCCAAGCATAGATGTATCAATAAGTTACGTATAAAGGTAAGCCTAGCACGTCACCGTGTTTATTTAAAAGGGAAGCAGAACTCGTAAAGTAATTAGCAGAGCAAAAGATCTCTCCTATAAGAGAGATGTAGTACTGCCAGACACACTGTAATACAAGGAGGAGGGCTGAACAAGCTGAAATCTAGTGGAAGCGGTACATTTGCTTCCTGCAATAGCGCCTTAGCCTGACCATGTAGTCATAACCTGCGCTCCGCACGCAGGAAGCTAGACAAGAATCATTCTCTACAACATCCCCTATCTAGTGTAGGAATACAGAACTATCCCCCACTATTCTTTTGTAGTGTAAAGTGAATACTATCGCCTACAATTACCCCTCACACATACTACAGGAGTAGTTTTATTAGCGTCTTAGCATAGGTAGACCGTGAATCTGTAAAATAGGTTAACAGTAGCAAAGATAATAGCTGTTGCAGCTCGTTCCAGTAGTCTGTGTATTCAAGTTTGATTAGCGGTGGTACCAAACAGAACCTTTCCGCAATTCGCACACATTTAGGCTTTATCTTTCTAAAAAGAGGGCCCACAATTATAGACTGACCGTGTCCTGTAGATATGTCAGATTTGAAGGACTAGCGTTTTGCTCGAAGCATACTATACATTGTTGGATCCAGTCTTTTGTAGATTGAGGCAGGCAGAGCTCCGACCCGTGACTGTAGAGTTGGTAGAGTATATGGTGCAGACTGTGGCTGCTGCACTGCGGTATAGATGCGTGGGTATCGGGCTTGTTCGTGTCTTGGTCCGGTGAATTACTCCGCGAACTTGAGGATGCGACCCTTGGAGGAGGCACTGGCGGTACATGACTATCTTGTACATAACCTGCTGCTTGCGGTACACTTGCAAGCAATTCCATAATTTTTGAAACGATGAGTCTCTTGAATGATGCGCGCTTGGTACTCGAATCCAGCGAAGATGCTGCATTGTCGCATTCGCGGGTAATGGCCTGATGGAGGCGTATGTGAGTTGTCTGAACGCTATTCCATATATGTGCGTGCAGATGCTGGGGGCGTACTCTCTGGGTTAGCTTCGCGAAATGCAAAGTATAATGACATGATTTACTTACAATGGAAGTAGCCTTTATGCGCGAGATGGCTATGCTCAGCGTCGGGAAGCTGACGATTCTCAAAAGGAGCTTCCTGTGCCAAGTCGCGTGCGTATTCATCCAGGTTTGCGTCAAGAGCCAATGCGCTTTGTACAACGACCATTGGATCAACCTCATCCGCAGCTCGATACTCTTCCTTGAATTGAAGCAGGCTAAGAATGATGTTGAGAAAAGAGTCATCTACGAGGACACGCTCTGCTTTCTTCTCCACCAGCCTCTGGAAGTCAACAATATTACGCGATAGTGGTACTCCTTGGATCCAGCAATCCATAATAACAGTCTTTATCAACGTATTGCATAGCTTAATGGTAACATCAGTCTGTTTCTCCTGCTGCAGGATCAAGTGTGCGACAGAAACGGCGCCAGCTAGATGGATACTGGCATTGTCCATACCCGCGCGCCTTGGAAGGACCAACGCCTCAAACATCGCTGCCAGATAGATCGATGCGACTGTGCAGTCCTGGACTGCAGTATTTGCACACGGCAATGCGTTGTTGATGGCCCGGATTGCAGCACCATAGTTGTGCGTGGCGGCACTGAGCATGTCCCTATTATGAGATTTGTTGACCAGACCAACCAGGCCAACAGCTGCACAGATTTGCGGCAAAGCAGGATCGGAGTGAGCCGTCTTTGCGTAGAAATCGGGTAGGTAATCCAGTAGGGACATGGCAGGATCGTCCACAATGAAGTTCGTCATGAAGAAATTGACACCAAGGTCGTTCAACGGCTGGTACATGATGAAGCCAGTCAACTTGAGGGGGAAATCAGCCACTAGACGTTTTGCCAATTGCCCTCTTGGGCGGGACCTGTTTCTTGGCGTATCTGGATGCGCATCTCGAGGCGAAACGTGGGTCTGATTCTGGGTAACAACTCGGACGCTTTCATCGAGAAACATAAGATCTACTGTGCTGCGGTAACCCGAACAACCACGGCCAGCTTTGATGCATTGCCCACATGCAGGTAGCTTCTTGTCGCACTGAGAACGGTCAGCGAAATGCTAAGGTAAGGTTGCATGCGAGTCGCATCCTGACAAGCGAGTTATGCAAACGCTTACAGTACATTGAATTGTATTTGGCCGATAATTCTGGGTAATCAATAAAGAATTGGAGACTTACCCGACTGCGCAGTTTCCTACATTCCGCGCAGGCTGTCGACGGCTTGCCCCGGTATACCATGGTGTCGTAATCCCTGGACTTGTGTCTCGAAGATCTTCATCTCAGCGAGCGATTTTTGGACGTGTTTGAGTCATGAAAAGACGTTAGGAGACTTGGAATCATAACGAGCAGAAGTGGAGGAAAATGTCCTTAGGTGACCTCACGCAGCCTCGCGCACGCCAAGAGGGGTGTGTGGTACGATTGGCTAGGATATTAATGCAAGGAGGCGGCGATGATGCACTTTGCAGGGTCCGTCCGTACAAAGAACCAATAAGTTCCATCAGGCACGCGAGGCTGAGTAAGCCCCAAATGACAAATACCCTTCATCACGCGATACTACGTCTAGATATTGTGAGTGTTGTTGAATTAGATGATCGCGATTCAGATTATCAAGCACGCATCCGCTACCAATTACATGCTCCATCGCTTTTGCCAGACGCTCAAAATCCACCAATCCTCCTCTAGGCTCAACTCCTTTCATGCGTGACGTCCGTTAAGAAAACATATTCGGCCGGACCTTCTTCAAGCTCGATTGATCCTCATACTGCAGTTTGTTAGTCAAGATTCTCTGACTTCTGGAACCATCGCGATATCTTACCTGCAAGAACCCAGTGACATCTACCAGAACCGTCCAACAATCCACCAAATCCACAATATCCTGCTGTAATTCTTCACCCATACCTACGCCAACATTGACACTCCTCTTGAAGATGCTCACCATACTATGTCGGTTATCCTTCAAAAACTCTCGGGCCTGGAAAACAGTCTGGTCATTCTGCCTTCCTCGTGCAATGACTGCTGCGTTGATGACACGAAGTACAGCGAGCATGAGTTCGTAGTATTTGCGCAGTGCATTCGGATCGTCGAACTCAAGACCGATGTCTGGGTCTACGGAGAAGATCTGAGAATCGCGAATAGCGGGGAAGAGGCCGGCGTTGAGGACGTGAGCAGCGCCAAGGCGGGATTGGCAGACGCGGAGGAGGAGAGCCAGACTGGCATCGTAGTAGGAGAGTAGCACAGATACTTGGGGTGCGGCGGCAGCGCGTAGTTCCTCGGGAATATGCTTGATGTTGTCGACAAGGACACCGACAAAGTTTAGGGAGACGAAGCTATCGAGGATGTATTTGGATGATTGACGAGTTGCTGCCGCTACGAAGGCGTTAAGCAAAAGTAAGGCAGATACCTTGCAGGTTCCTTGTCCGCTGTAGGCGTCGTCGCATATCACCTCGAGCATGTTGGTGCCGCAATTCTTGATGGCTCCGAGTGTATGGCGACCGAGCAGGGAGTTGGGTGTCGCCTTGTTGAAGGTACCGTGGATGTAGCGGAAGCAGATCTGGTAGCAGTACTCTCGTAGTTCGGCTGTCGATACCGGGCTGTAGATGCCGACTAGCGCGGCACGGAACAACTGAGAGAGTCGATCGTTCGCAAAGTCGCCTGTTTTGTCGAACGCAGTTGATTCGAAGTCAACCTTTTGCACAAGAGATTCCGCTAGGCTAGCGAGTTGGAGGGCGGTAAAGATGTCCGACGTGTAGGATTGCTCAAGCTTTGGCAGAATGACCTGGAGGGTTTGCATGATGAAGGAACTG